GGTTATGATGTTTTTGCCCAATAGTTGGAGGTTAGAACATGGTCCATATCGTATACAACTGTAAGATTTGAAAACAATAATTAAAGGTAACTCATGGTTGCATCAAAGTATAACACAATTTTCCAAACTCTTTTTCCAAATATATCGGGCAGCTGCATAGATTACAAGCAACATATGCTTTGTTGTTAGCTATATATGTGGTAACTCAAAGAAGTTAGAAAGATTCAATATTTGATCAGTAATAGGATAAACGAGCTATGTTATAAGCTTCATTGTAGCCCAATTAATTGGCTCCTTCATTTCAAAATTGTACTCTCTTTATTTGACCAAAATTAAGCGAGATAATAGGGAGTCTGTGTCATTCTCACACATGACTTTGACTTGCCTCATAATTGTTCACTTTTCCTGTATTGGATGGTTTCATTTGGTTTATCAATGTCTTCTTTTTAGGTCGATGACTAATATTTGTCCAATAATGGCTATCGTATTTCCCTTTCTTTCATAAAAATGGAAAACTAGAACTGAAACGAAAACATTAAATGTTATATAATGTAGTTAAGATGATATTAGCTTGAAGAATTTCTTTTGCCCATCAAACTACATGAATGCTTAGTAAATTATAGGACTGATACAACACTATCAACATGATAATTCTGATAATTTTTACCTCAATAATCTTGGGGTCTACATAAATCCTTTTTCACCATTCTACTCTATCTAAGCTACCTATACTAGCAAATTCAATGATATAAAAATGTATAGCAATCACCTAACACCGTTTTGGTATTAGTCTACCTCTTCTTTTAGCCGATTCTACTTGGATTATATTGCTCTTGTGAGTGAGTGGAAGATCTATTTAGGTCTACACAAGATATGTTTCCAAAATTCTAAGCCGATAATTTTTCCACCTTCATATTATTGGTATATATCCTCATTCATTATTTTATGCATTCTAATGTGTTGGAATCCATCTTAAATCTTCAGTTTTACTGGGTTCATCTTATGAACATTTTTGTCCTCAGCGATCCATTACTCATTTTAACTTGGAATGTATCTTTTGATCATGCAGAACTCTTGTAACCTTCTCCACCTTATCTGACCAATGCTAGGTTTATGAATTATATCATCAAATCTATGTACCTCAATAAATTATAAATACCTAAAATAATCACCATTTGGGAAAAGAGGTGCTTTATTCGGACACTTCATCCTTATTCCTACTATTGACTATAATGGCATTCCTTGTATTACATCTTAGTTCTACATAACCTAAAGATGTTAGATTCCATAGTTATATTTAACTTAGATTATCTGCCCATGTTGAAATTCAAACATCTGGAGAAGAAGAATGATGTTTCTTTTAAAATGTACTAAGGAAAAGGAAACATAGAAATTGGGTAAAGTATTGCAAAATTTGAGGTATATTTGCTTGAAGGGATTACTGTATTGAGTTCATTGAGGCTTTACTATACAAAAGCCAAAATGGAAGTTCTAGCAATGCAATTGCACAAATTTTTCCAGAAGTTTCAAGAAAATAAGCAATGATCTTTTCCTATCATCATTCCGTCTAGATGCTGGGATGTAACATCAGAAGAAAGAAAATTGTAGAAAGAAGAACTTGAAGCATCAGAAATCTCTGTGCAAAACATTATAGAACAATCAGTAGAAAAAAATTAGATTTGTGGGATGGTTGTCTCTTTATTGTTATTGATTTGATTAAGCATATAGCATATCTGCATCTGTCTACTATGTGCTGAATCATACACACTTTTTAGCATCTGATCAATCTCATGTAAGTTGCAAGAGTACTTGAGCAGACGGTCTTCTGACTGAGTTTGTTCTATATTTAAATGCAGAAAGGCTAGTACTGAAGCTCTGAAAGCAAGTTTAGATGAACTAGGTCTAGAAAGGAAGCCTCAAGAAAGAAAATGAAAGTCCTTCTTCAGAAAATCTTCTCTCGAAAAATATTTTCGATGTTATCTTCCCCTCTCAACAAGGCAGTTATTTTTAGCAAATAAATCAAAAGCGGGTTAAGGTTGCTCCATGATCCTAGACATAATTTATGCCCGGTGGTTCATGGTTTCAAGGAGAAAAATCATGATAGAAAACTTATCTTCACCTTGAGTGATTATCTTGAACATAACTCAGTTCATAGGCGGAGTATTCCAATACGCATGGCCGTTCGAATTGCTCAGATTGATCGATAAATGGGATCTTTACTGTTGATGGAACTTCTGCACCTTGTATCAGTGTGGCAATGCGGGACTCAGGTTGTCCGAGGATGTAAATTTAAGCTGTGTAAACTTGTGGTTGGATGGTTGTATACTTGTACACAAATTTGCAATTCTTGATTCTATTACTGCTGAAAGCATGCCTGAATTTATGCTGTGGAAGGGTTGAGAGAACCCCATCCCTCTCTTTCCTCCTTTTTTTTTTTTTTTTTTTTTTGGTTTTATTAAAACTCCTTTATCTTTCCTGATTGGACTGTAATTCTCATGTTTCTAGGACGTGTCTCATACGTTGGATTGGACATAACGCGGCAATAAACCTTTTCTTAGCCCCTATTTGATTGGGATAAAAAATACATTTTTAATAAATTTCGATAAAAGTTCATAAGATGTGTGATTGAGGAGTTGATAAAAATTGTGATCCCATAAAATATATGGGAATAACAAAGTTGGTATCGAGTTGATTTAAAGGAGGGAAGCTCTTTATATAGACGAGGAGATCCTTCATATATACCACTCAACATACTGTCTTAATGATACAATCGATACTAGAACAATAATACATCTGATACAAGGATAATAATTTTACAAAAACACAAATGATTAACCACTACTTTTAATAAAGTAGGGCAATAATTTAATTGATATAGGTACAATAATGATGACAAATTTTAAAAGCATATTTTAAAATGCAAGGAATTTGCTTTAAAAAGCGTGATTATTACAAGACAATTCTGCTTTGCCTTCTTGTAAATATATGGTCTCACGAATGCATGATTTTGCCCGACTTTGTTGTAGTGAAACCTCAATAAGCATAAGCTTTAGTTTTAGTCCCTTCAAGAACATTTGATAAAATTAAGAGTTTTGCTATGTGTACAAGAGGGGTTTCATAGAACTCCTCTAGAACACACAGAGACACGACATTCCACGTGGGACCCGTCTCATAAAAAATTTAAAAAATATCCCCCCCTCCCCGTCCCGCCCTCTGTGTGTTCTAAAGGGGTTCTGTGAAATCCGTCATGTAATACAACAGAACTTTAAATTAATAAGGTACGAAGACTAGAAGACCAGCATTATGCCTAAACAAGATACACGAACAATAGCTAAGAGTGGGCATAATAATTGTTCACTAGACTAAACAAATCGATCTAAATTTTTGATAGTTGATCCTATTTGTATGGTCAAAAAATACCCAAACATAAAGATGTTATGTAGATAAAAGGATGAAGTGCCTACTATCATACTATTTTCAAGTTGATAAGATATTTATGACATTACACTTAGCCCTTGTTTGAGGTCCATTCTTAGGAAAAAATGCATTATTTCATAGTATTTTGATATTATTTCAACCACACATTATTCAATAAAATAATATTACACGTAAATTCAAAACTTTTCCTTATTTTTTAACCACATATTTTCCATCAATATATTATTCAAATATGCATTTTCTGCTCCAAAATGGGGCTCAAACAAGGGCTTAGATTTCTTTATATTTACTCCGCCATCTTTGAAATTATATTATAAATATGGGTTATGCTATAGGTATATCAACGTTTATGCCAAGTGGTGTTTCTTCACTGACAAGTAGAAAAATAGCTTTTTTCACTAGCCAATAATGAAATGTCGGTTGGACATTATGCATATCACGATATAAACCTTGATGTACATGTAAAATAATCCTAAAAATATTGCCTATAAAGGACAATTTGGTAAATGTCATGTTGATTTTGCTGGTAAAGAATTGGGTTTCCTTCCAAATATACATTCGTTTCCTCTTTTATTTAGGGTAAGTAGCAGTGAGGTCCGAACCTTTGACACTTGTATGTCTTTTGTCTCCAAACTTTAAAAAGTAGCATTTACAACCTCAACCTTTCAATTTGGTAACATTTAGGTCACAACGTGACAATTTTACCCGAATATTTTTAATAGTTAGTTAAAATTCATTAAAATGACAACTTTACCCTTGTTTTTAATAAAAGATGAAAATAAAAGCAAGATAGAAAAAGAAATTTAAAATTTATATTCTTCGTTTCTCCACTCATTGCTTTCCCAAACTCCTCTACCCGACCCATCGAACTCCATTGCCACCTCCACTAAATCTCCATCACGTCGTCCCAATTTCTATTTTCATATATCTAATTTCAAAAAGTTTGGACTATGCTATAAATCGCACTCAACTTGCTCCATGTTGCCCTCACTCAAATAGGGTGAGAAATCTTTGCTCCAAATGCTAATGAGGCGGGGACGAAAAACATGATTCCCTCATCGAATTTTTCAAACAAGCCCGATTCTCTTTATTTTATTTTTATATTTTCAATTTAAATTGGATTTAACAAATAATTAGTAATTACACGGGACGATAAATCAGTAGTTTTTAATTCTTGCTCACCTAGCCTCTCAATCTCACCTTGCCACCCCACCCCATCAACTCCTCCTTATTATTTTCCCTGTTCGAGGAACATTATTGTATAATTTATATATTAACTTTATTTAATTTTTTTTATCTATTTATCTTTTTATTTAATTCCAATAATTAGGGAAAAAGATTGCCTTGTTGACAAAAAAATTAGCTAGTTATTATTATGGATGTGTAAAATTGTGCACCAAGGACCAAAAGTTTTATTAAAATGAAAGGTAGAAGATGTAAATGCTATCTTTTAAAGGTTGGGACAAAAGTGCAACAAGTGTCAAGGTTGGAGACCTCTGCTGCTATTTACCCATTTTCATTATAAGATAATGTATTTTTCAATAAGCTCACGCAAACAAGCACTAAAAATGCAAATCTTTCTTCTTATAAGGGAGTTTCCCTTTGCGCCAGTTGATCTTGTGTAATTCGCAAGTGCAATTGATTGAGCAACCGGAGCAAGGGTTTTGCACCAATTGATCTTCTATTGCAGTGATTTCTAATCAATTTCTTCATCCCAAGGTTAGTATCACCAGTTGAACCTTTATTGCAGTTATTTCTACTCAAAATTGTTTCTTGATGGTAATCTTCCTCTAGCGACAGAGATTTTCTCGATAATATATCTTGAATTTTTATGCGAATGTTCATGAAAAACTAAATTTGATTAATGTATTCGACTCTTTCTACACTCTGTAAGAATTTTTGCTTCGTCTCCTCACCCTGCAGGGAATCGGGGAAGGTGGGAGGACGTAGGGGGGCAGGGACGGGCAATGGGGGTAAGGGATGAGAAAGTGAATTAGGCGAGGCTATGAGGGAGATAGGGCTGGGGGATATGGGAGAGAGTTGAGGAAAGAGGAAACGAGAGGAGTGGATTGTGAATAATTTGCTAACTTTTTTACTCTTACTTATTTTTCAAAAAATGATCTTCTCTAAAACAAGCAAATTTATTTATAACCTTATTACCAAACATTCTGAATTGAGTTGCTTAATTTTAATTTATGTTAATAAGATATTTGAACATCTATTTACTTTTAATATTTGTCACTCTATTGGTCATTATTTCTAAAAATTTACGTCTCAATTCTACTTGGACATCAAAATTTGATGGCAATCAACCATTTCTTAGGTTTCTACGTAAATGTCACCCAATCAAGTTTTGAAGAGACTATATGCTACTTAATTATGTGGTGTATTTTTAACATCAATATGTGAAAAATGTTAGCAGATTTAGTTTAACAAAAGATCTAATAGATTTAAGTTTTATTGATAGGGCAACAGGAGGGGACAAGCGGCTAAGGGTTTCTCTGGGCACATTTTGTGTTGCAGTGATTTCTACTCAAACTTCTTCATCTCCAAACTTGGAAGGTTAGTATCAGATTATATGTATAAAAATGCGCTTTATATGTTGATTTTGTACTTGATTTGATTGTTGTCAGTGATTTAATTTCAACACAAATAGCCATTCTCATCTTCTAGCTCCGCAGTATTTATTTTTTTCCCCCAAAAATCTCGAGTGGTTTTCTCCTTGCCTTTGTAACCACCTGGCCTCAAGTGTAATAGGTGAACTCAATAACTCAACGTACAATACTCAACATATACATGAAAATGACAAACTCAGAACCACATATATAAAATGGTGCACCTCGATGTTGCAGTCCGGCCACTGGAGAGTGTAGTAAAGAAAGGCATCAGACTCAGAAATGGAGAAACCTCGCTGTCAACCAGGCGCTGCAGCTTCTCCATGTCTCCATAAGCTGTTGCCTGCAAACATCATTCTGCTGGCTTTTTTCATCCACCACCATCTTAGCCGCTGGCTGCTTCCGATATTTCGATTCCACATCTTCCACTACCTCGATCTGCAATGCCATATTAAATAGTCGAAATTTTTTCGGGGGAACTCAGAATATTTTTCAAAGCAATAAATTGATCAAAGAATTTAGTTAATATAGGGTTTTTCTTGGAAGGAAATGGAGTTGACTGAACTGGTATAAGGGATTGAAGAAACAGTGGAAGTCAGAAGTAGGCAACTCCCTGTGTTTCTGAACTTCTTCTACAAATATGTTTTATTGTCTAGGACATTGACGGAAACAAATAATGAAAGATATATTGGGGGTTGTTAGTTGTTCTTTGTGCTCTTAATGAGTAAATAACTGGGTAATTAATCCCTCTCTTATACAATAAATTTTCCATTATTTGTAACTGGTGCACCTCAATGATGTTGCAGTCCGGCCATTGGAGAGTGTAGTAAAAAGGGCATCAGACTCAGAAATGGAGCAAACTTGCTTTCAACCAGGCGCTGCAGCTTCCTCATGTCTCCATATTCTGTTGCCTTCTAGACGTCATTCTGCAGGCTCTCATCATCCACTGGCTGCTTCTGATATCTCAATTCCACTTCTTCCACTACCTCGACTTCCAATGCCATATTAAATATTCGAAAAGTGGGATTTTTTCTTGGGAACTCAGAATATTCTTCAAAGCAATAAATTGATCAAAGAATTTAGTTAATATAGGGGTTTTCTTGGTAGGAGAGGGAGTTGAAGAAACAGTGGAAGTCAGAAGTAGGCAACTCCCTGTGTTTCTGAACTTCTTCTACAAATATGTTTTATTGTCTAGGACATTGACGGAAACAAATAATGAAAGATATATTGGGGGTTGTTAGTTGTTCTTTGTGCTCTTAATGAGTAAATAACTGGGTAATTAATCCCTCTCTTATACAATAAATTTTCCATTATTTGTAACACTCATTGCCAATTCTTTTTGCAAAATCCTCCTTTTTTCCTTTTGTCTTTTTTTTTTTTTTTCTTTTTTATGGGTTTTTCATGTAATCTTCTTTATTATTATTGTTATTGTTATTGTTGGAGTAATGTCAAACTCTAATTGATTCTATAATATCTAAAAACTGAAAGTCATTATTTTTCTTTTCTCTTCCCCTAGTTTTTGTTGTGAAAGTAGTTTCCCATCTTCAATTAACAATTTTCTTGGGTTTTTTTATTCATGGCAGTTATTGAGGCTCCTCGCACTTGGAGAAAGATAAAAGTATGATTTACACAGCAATTGATACGTTTTATCTGACAGGCGAAGAGCTACAGAACTCACCCTCTAGGAGGGATGGGATAGATGAAGTTACAGAAACGACACTTCGAATCTATGGTTGTGATCTCATTCAAGAGAGCGGTATTTTGCTCAAATTGTATCCTTAATTATTTTAACTTTCCTTACGGTCTTCTTTTTTGTTGCAGTGTATGCTATACTCCACTTCTTTCTAATATATGAAGACTGGAAGATGATGTCATTTGTTCTTTTTTCATGAGTAAAATGAGTAATAAAATTATAGTTTAATTGCATTGTTATTTCCTTAATTAAACTTTTCACAGACCTCAAGCTGTGATGGCCACTGGTTAGGTCTTATTCCATCGTTTCTACTACAAGAAGTCATTTGCCAGATTCAACGTGGAGGTTCCTTTTTTCCCTATTAATACTCCCCAATTTTACAATAGTTTAGTTGCATTTTTACAATTTCATTTAGGGCTGGGCAAATCTCCCGAACTGATCGAACCGAACCCGAACCGAGTCCGACGGTTCTTGTCAAATTAAATACCCGAATGGGTATCTGAATTGAGAACCGACGGGTACGGTTCAGTTCTCGATTTTAGACCAACAACCGAATAACCGAATAAGAACCGAATCTTTCTAATTTCATTTTTATTGAGTAAATCAAATTATTTTAATTTTAATTCTGTCTAAACAAATTAAGAAATTAATAATTTCTAAATCTAAATTTTTGGTCCAATAATTTGTTTTATTTTTAATTTTTAAATTTTTGGCTCAATTACCTATTTTATTTTTTCATTTCTTAGCTCAACAAGATCCAATTCACTAAATAACTCTAAACACCTACATTAAAGTGCATAACGTTGTCTCGACTCTCGTACTCACTCTCGCAGCCTCGCTAACCTTCCAAAACCTATACAATAGTCGGCTAACGCTCTGACCTCCGTCGACCGAAACTTTGACCATAGCCATCATTTAAACAAGGTATTATTCTCTGACATTTCAAAATCATTGAATGTATCATTAGTTGTATTTATATAATATTGTTATAAATGTTAAAAAATTTAATTATAGTACAGAATCAAATGGAACCGAACTGAACCGAACGGAACCGAACCCGAACGGTTCCATAATTATATTTGGACCCAACGGTTCCATTTACTAGATGCCCGAAAATTTTGGTTCGGTTCGGTTCTCTTTAGTACCGAACCGAACCGACCCGCGCCCACCCCTAATTTCATTAGCTTTATTCTCTTCTGACATAGAACTAGACTTGGTTTGCACACAGATGGTTGCTGCGAGTTGTGTATGGCTTGCTTTCAAACTCGAAGAAAGTCCTAGGAAAGCAAGGCAAGTCCTCATTGTTTTTTACAGGATGGAATGTAGGAGGGAAAACTTACCCATAGAGCATCTGGACACATATTCTAAGGTTGGATATCATTTTTAATCTTGTGTTCTGGATCAGTGCTATTAAATTTTAATTTATTATCTAAATATTTTCCATTTTCCGGTGAAGTTATGTAAGGTTGGATATTGACTTTAATATTGTATTTTTTGTCAGTGCTATCGATTTTGTAGTTTATTATATAACTATTATTCTGTAATCTGTGGAAATCATAGGTTGTCTTGTCTTATATTTCATACTATGGGGTTGTGCAAAGCAGGTGTAGGAACTTGATTATTTTCTTTAATCCCTGAAGTTTATGACAGGATAGAGACACCCCTTATTTTTCAAGTATTTTCGAAACATCCCCCTTAGCATAAATTTCCCACTTTGCCCTTCTATCTTTTTTTTTTTTAATCTTATCTTATGTATATAATTATATCTGCTTTCTTATTTAATCTTAGTCATATATTTTGTGAATATTGATTTATGTTTGTCAATAGAAATATGTGGATCTGAAAGCAGATTTGATCAGAACAGAGAGGCATCTTTTGAAAGAAATGGGTTTCATCTGCCATGTTGAGCATCCTCATAAGTTTATATCGAATTATCTTGCTACTCTTGGAACTCCTCTAGAACTGAGACAAGAAGCTTGGAATCTTGCAAATGATGGGTAAATTTTTGGAGCTAGGAAAAAATTATTCACGCAAGCACGTATATTGTACTGAGATTTCTGTGAATAATGCTTTTAGCGTGAATTATAGTTGATAGGGAAAGGCTCGTGAAATTGTAATATTGCAGATTATGGAAGTCGAAGAGATGTTCAACTGGAACCATCACCCTCCTAAATTTTAGTGGAAAATCAAATAGTAGCACTTAATTAGTCCAAGGGGATTATGATGACAGCTATCACAACCTAATGGGACAATACACTAAAGGCACATGGTCTGTGTGGTGGTTAAAAATATATCTGTCTAGAATGTCTCAATGGATGTAGTAATGAACTGAAGAGTTGGAAAAAAAGATCATGTAGTGGGGTTCAAATCTAAATGAGCATAGTTTGTTGTGGAGCTGTTGAGTATTTGGTTCACATACTTCTATGCACAGTGAAAGCTCTATATCCATTCATGATAGAATTATAGTAAGGCAACTTCCATGTAAATTTCAACTTCTTGGTGGATTTAGTTCTCATTTGTCTCTATTCAAAACAATTTCTTTTAATGTTACACCAGATGAAGTTCAATATTTGGAAACTTGCATTTGCAATTTTTACTTTGCTACAAGCTTAAGGATCTTCACCATCTGTTTAGTTTAAGAAGCTAACCTAGCATGAAGATTAGTAGCATCAAATTGAATGTACATTAGCTTGATCATGGGTCTCCTGCTTTCCTTCTATCAGTTCGATGATCTGGTATATTTGGTTGGTATTTCTTTCTCGTGCACTCGTGAGCACTGCTCTTGTCCTCAGTCTTCTAACGAGTTCTAAAGATCCTTATATTTATTTCTTATGAACAGCTTGCGCACAACTTTGTGTGTTAGATTCAAGAGTGAAGTTGTGGCCTGTGGTGTTGTATATGCTGCAGCCCGTAGATTTCAAGTGCCATTGCCAGAGAATCCTCCATGGTGGAAAGCATTTGATGCTGATAAGTCTGGTATAGATGAGGTTTGTAGAGTTCTGGCTCACCTATATGCCCTTCCAAAGGCACAGTATATACATGTATGCAAGGAACGGGGTTCATTTGCAACATCTAATCGATCATGGGATTCACCACATGAGTCTGTTACCAAGGTAAACACATGCTTTAATTAAATTGGTTCAGTTTGCTATGTAGCCCCAATTTGTTATTCCTGTTTGCTTTATGCTTCTATTGTATAGCCAACTACCAATCGAATTGCCAGGACAACACATTGAGTAGACGATAGGGAATAATTCGTCATTTTACTTCACTAGTGTATTTTAAAGAAATCTGGAATAATTGACTTGCTTTTGACGGGAATATCTGGGTAAGATTTATATCTTTCTGCCCTTTGTTTTTGTTTAGGATGGTTCCTTGACTGGACCTGCTGCAAATGAAGATAGTAGTACTGCAAAAGGGTCCTCTTCAGCTGCAAATCGGGAAGTGGGTAACGATGTACTTGTAAAAGCTGCACTTGACAAAATGAAGGAGTTGAAGAGTGCCGATGACTCTAAAAGCATGCCCACTTGTGAAGAGTCGAGAGAAGATCCAGAGTCTAAATTGATGTCTGATCATCGAACAGAGGCTGGTGGTGAAAGCAACAAGGAAAGGGACAAAGACGGGGACAGGGATAGGGAGAGAGAAAGAACAAAGAGCAGAGTTCATGATAGAGGGAGAGAATCTGACGGGGAACGAGGACGCGAGGATAGTGAAAGGGACAGAGATAAAATCAAGGAAAGGGGCCACCGTTCGAGGGACAGAGGAAAAGACTCTGGTTAGTTCGTGGACTCTTCATGATATAACTCTTCTTGCATTGTATGTTTTGATTGCACATCTTTGTATATACCGTATTGAATTGCTTTTCTGATCACCTTATGCAGGACGTGTCGAGAAATCAAAACATCATTCTTCTCGAGGTAAATTTATAAATATCTCATTATTTATTTGATAATTTTTTCAAGAAATTGACTTATTAAATAAGCAAATTGTCATGTTTTACTAGATCGAGAATACCACAGCTCGTCTTACTCATCAAGGGAGAAGGATCGTCGTAAACATCATTTGTATGCATAAACTGGGTTGAAAGGTGCTATTTTATTTCTGTTACGCTGCTCGATTGTATGTTACCTTCTTGCAATTAAATCATTATGGATCAAACGACATTAGAAAGTACTTTTAAGGTTAAAGTACAGTTCCCTCAATAGTGGAAACAATGTTGACAAGCAGTCTTCCGAAACCATTGATGGTGAATTTTGATACTTCTAAGGAGAAACCTTATTTCTTTATCTTCGTTTAATGTTTTTGCTGACAACCATTAAGGAAACGACGAACTTTTGTGTTCCTATTTTACGTGAGGCTTTTTGGACAATCATGCTGCTGTGAAACTATTTGATATGTTGAGGTCTGGTTCGATTAATATATTAATCTTATCTATTAAGCTTTTAGCTATGATTAATTTAGGATTGATCTTCTTCTTCTTCTTCTTTTATTTTATTATTTTATTATTATTATTTTTTTCCTTGGGTCATACATTCCTTTCATTTGGCGCATTTTCCTACCACTCTACGCCATTTTCTTTTCTTAAAATTTCTCTCTAAGTTGAGAAAATTCGTGGATGTTAAACTAGTCAATTCATCCTTTCTCAATTTCTAGTTTCTGTTGCATCTAGAGTGTAGAATACATGTTGTAAGTGATTTAGCCCCTGTTTGATAACCATTATTTGGTAAAAACTGTGTTTTGAATAGTGGTTTTGAGGAGAATGTAATGTATGGTTAAAAAGTATGAAAAAGTTTTGGATTTGTGTGCAAAATATTATATTGTGTAAATGTATGGTTGAAAATGAGTATGTAAAAAAATGAATTTGTAAATAATGGTTGTCGAACAAGGGGTTAATTTCATGTTTTTAATGGATGTATGCAATGATATGTTTATGAGCACCCGTTTGACAACCATTAAAACATTTCTTTTCCAAGCTCATTTTTAACCACACATTTTCACAATAAAATAACCATAGTCTCCAAAAAAATCATTATTTCAAATTTAATTTTTTGCAAAAAATTCATTTTAATAGTTGTCAAACGGGAGCGTAATATCATTATTAGTTGAGATTGTGAAAGGTTATGGTCCTAAATGGAGATTGAGATGGATTGGTAGTTCTAAAGTTGAGATTGATATGATGCACATACTATGAGAAGTTGAGACTGAGATCGAACATTTTGGCACAAGTAGAGATTAAGCCCCATTTGGTTTAGATATAATTAGATTTTTAGTAAATTTTGACAAAAATTGATGAAATATGTGATCGAAAAGTTGTGGATTCTATAAAATATGTGGTTAAAATAAATTATTGACTTTGATTTAGATTTTAATCTGTTTCTTTTGTTGAATTGAATATGGGCTAGAAATTACCTCCTTGCTCAACAAATGATAAGAATGTCGGTTACTACCAATGGATCGATCTTTGTCAGTTGAAAAGTAAAAGAATCATTTATATGTTCTAAAATAAATGATTAAGAATTGATTTAATTAATTCATTCTTGATTACTTCAAACATTAGGTGTAGTTGATTATTTCCTTATTTGTCTCTCTTTTCCTTCGTATCCTGCCCACAAACTAAATCAATCTTCCCCAATATTCTTTTGTGCTGTGCTCTTTTATTTTCTTTTTGTGTTGATTCCTCTACTAATTCTCGATCACGTTCTAGCACTTGTGTCTCACTCAATTATACTACAATTGCATTCTTTAAATACTGTCTTTACGAGTCGGAAAAGTGTAACCGTCAATGAAGTGGAATGAAAGGAGCTTATTCATATTCAATGTTAGACTAGTAATTACCCAACAACCACAAGGAAAAATGATGTAGTAACTATTTAACTTTTTGTATATAGCATAACAAAAAAAACAATGTTTGTTCCTCTATCAACATATAATTGTCTTATTTTGATTAGTTGATATTCTATGGGATGTCATCGTAAATGAAAGAGGTCTATGATTTGACTCGGAATATTATTAACTTCTTTATTTGTCATGATATCCCATATCCTATCACTAACTAAAGTAAGCCAGTTATCATTTACAAGCCTTTTGTTTGAATCTTTCAAGTTATTGTTCATATCGAAACACATCAAGATTGATAAGAGTTGGTTAAGGATGCTCAAATATATACTTGTTTTGAGTGCCTATTTATATTTCATCGATATCTACATATTGATCGCAAGTCGAAATATGATTAGAACCTTTATGTATCCTGAACTTGTATTAAATTCATTTAATATAAATTTTGTAACATTTTCCCTTTTTTGGATAATTAGTTTTGTGAATGACGTTCCAATCAACGAGAATTTTGTTTACTTAAATTCCTTGGTGGCAGATTCGTCAAATTTTTGAATTTATCCACGTTGAGTGGAGGATTTAGGGGATTCCCCTTAGTGTATCTAAGCCCCCGCTTGGTTGTAATTTTTCATTCAGAATATTAATTTTTTGACCATTATTTCACTTTTAAGTCATCATTTTTTACTTTTTTACTCACAGGTGTGATTCACTATTCTCTCCAACGGTCAAAAAATCAATTCTCATAATCACTATCGAACAGACCCTGAAACAAAAAAATTAAGTGCTTGTTTATAACATGTCAAAATGATGTAATGAGAAAGAAGCAAAAATTATCAAAGAATAACAAAAAGAATAAACGAAAAAGAAAAGAAAAAATTAATCCAATGATGAGTCTATTTTTACTGCATTCTTAATTTCGGTTTTCGTTTTGTAGTTAGTTTTATTGAAACTGGGGAAGTCATGATTCCTATGGGGGCCGGGCAGCTACAAAGAAACAAAATTTCTATAAAGTAGAATAATCACTTGTAAGTTAAAAAAAATAATTAATTAAATTAAAGTAAAAATTTTTAGTAAATGAAAAAAATTTCTCATGTGCAAAATAATAACTTTTAAGTAAAAAAGTCTTGTAAAGAATAATACACTAATAAGTTAAAAAAATACTAAATACTTAAAAAAAAAAATCTTCTAAAATGGTTCGTCATTAAGTAAATTTATGTGTGAGTTAGAAAATTATTTATGAATATTTTATTTTAGTTTTCAATGTTTTGGTATAAAAATCAATAACCAATGCTATTTACATCCTTTAATTTTAAAGGTTTAGAAAATGGGTAATTAGCACAAAACATACAGATTATTTGCACTTATTTTGCAAATTGTTTCTATTGTTTCAAATTTGACATTGACACCCATAATACGGTCTTTTCTTGAATAGTTAGTCATTTTCATCTCATTCTGTCAATTCCTTCTATTAAAAATAGGTAATTGGTACAAAACATCACCATCAATTGCCTTTATTCAACAAACATTTCTATCATTTGCCTTCATTGTTCAAAAGGTCCTTATCACCTATTTTTTCAATTAAAGTATTGTAAAATAATTAATTTACCTCCTCTTTAAATAAATAAATGGAGAAGAAAGAAATAATATGAAAAATAGATAACAATAGTCAAAGTCCTAATATTTCAAATAATGCAAACGAGTTCTACTTAAAATAATTTAAAACATATTAAAAAAATAAAAAATAAAAAAATCATCTTCCCCCCTCCAAAAAAAAAACATTATTTTTCCCTTAGCTGGGTTTGAATTTTAATAGTTATTTTTGGAATTTGAATTAAGATCTTGAAGAACCCTCTAACGGAACAAGAAATCCCATAAACTTGAACAAAATCAAGAAAAATTTAAAGTCAATGCAGTGGCATATGTATATGTGTGTATGTAATTAACAACAAGAAGATAGAAACAAGAATTTGCTAAAAAAATCCAAATCCCTAAAAAAACTTGTATGACTTCGCTGAAGATTACAGAAAAATTGTTAAATCTCAGGGTGATGGTGGTGGCCAATGGTCGGGTGAGAAATTGGATAAGGAAAAACTATTTTGTTTTTCTATTTTTTAATTCTTCTTTTACTTTTTATATATATATTTATTTTTACTGATGGCAAAAAAATTCGCCTCGCCCTATCCCGATGGGGCCCTGTATTGAATGGGGCAAAAAAATTCGTCCCGAACGAGTGTTAGGGGTGGGCCCCCCCCCCAATTGCGGGGCGGGATGGGAAGGGGATGCCCCGACCCATGAAGGAAAAAATTAAAAAATGATTACAAATAAATTTATTTCTAAACAATTTACCTGTTAAAAACTAATTTTCAATTTGTATTTTATTCTCTAATAATAATATAACTCGAAATTTTGAAAATATAAAAAAAATAAATTAAACGGGGCAAAAAGTTGCTGCGCCCTGCCTCGTCCCGTCCAAGGCTGAGCGGGGCGGGACAGGGTTTGGGCGAGACGGCGTCCCAAACATGCCTCATTGCCATCCCTGTTTATTTCTCTTTTTAATTATTTTGGTGGTTGTGCTGGAGAGTAGAGGATGGGTAAGGGGAGGGGTAAGGCTAGGTTGGGTTAATTGGAAATATGAAATATATTACTTTTGTTAGTACATTTTAGATTATTTTACCTAATATTCATTTGTAATTTTTCAAAATCTAAAAATTTATTTGAAGATGAGGGTAAATTAGTAATATTACAATGGAAAAAAAATAGATGCTAAGGATTTTTTGCGAAGTGAAGGCAAATGATAGGGACATTTTGCCCAATAAAGGAATACAATAGGGACGTTTTGCACAAATTATTCATATTTGACAGAAGGAAATGACGAAATGAAACAAAAAGGACCAAATCCAAAAGAAACTGTTAAATGAGGGTGTAATTGTCAAATTTAAAACGATATGGATGACTAACATAATGATTGCAAACGAGAGGACCTTTTTTACTAATTACCCTTTTAGAAAATTGTGCATCGTTTATGTTATAGACTTGACTTTTGAACTTCTTGTGAATATGTTTAAATTTAAAGTATTAAAGATGTCATTGTAATCGATGGTGGATCACCGAATAACATTATTAAAACTAAGATTTGCCTCAATAGGAACCATGGTCAAATATAGGTATTACTCGGAGTCAACTATTTTGTTGATCAAGAATTAATACTCGGAACCTCAATTTTTGATGAATAATATATTTGGGATGCTTGGTTATTATTTGAGAGAAGCTTACTACACAATAGGGTCAATGACAGGATTTAAAATAGGGGATGCTGGTCAAATACTCATTGGACAATTCGAAAAAAAAAAAAGTAAAAAAAAAAAAAAGAACCACAGCAACGCCAGTTACCAAACCATATCAACAGTCCCTGTTTGAGTAGCTTTATTGCATTTGAGATGTGAAGCTAGCACTCAGTCCAACTTTCAGCTTCTAACACCTAGTTCAAACCTTTGTTCCAGTCAATTTTTTTCACGCTT